TGATCTTTAAGGTCCCTTCCAACCCAAACCATTCTATGATTCTGTGATTCAAACATCCTGCCCTAGAAGGCACCAAAAGCTGGATAATTGCCCAAGAAGGGTGAAGTCATCAAGAATCTGCCAAAACTGGGGGAAAGTAGATGTGGCAGCGGAGATTGCAGCCACCGACTCCATTAGAGACTGAACAGACTCTGGGTGTCTGTGTCTCTGTGTCTGTGTCTGTGTGTCTGTCTATGTCTCTGTGTGTGTGTGTGTCTGTATGTCTGTCTATGTCTCTGTGTGTGTCTCTGTGTCTGTGTGTCCCCAGCCCCATATTAGAGCATGTGCTGCAAATTTTTTGTTACTGTACTTTTAAAAGGTGAGGGAAATTTAATCTAATCACAAAGTAGAATAGTAATGCATATATATAGTGGGTGGAACAAACTCATCGGTTATGTATAAATATGTGAAGTTTTGCAAACTCGGTGTGCTAGATTTGCGGTGATGCACCCCAGCACCCAGTGCTGAGTAAAGAACGCCCGCTTCTTCAGACTACCTTGGTGTTAAGCTTACTCCTTATTTTGGTGACGGTGTTAACTTCTGTCAATACATCCTCAGAGTTACCCCCAGCTCCGAGCTGCCCCAGGTTCACTGAGGTGACTGGTGGCTGTGGCTGTGGCTGCAGGGCTGGATGCCGTTCCCGCTCCCTCAGGAGGTGCCGCCAGCACCCACAGCCGGGTCTGGTCAGTCAGTTACTGACGTACACAGCTGGATAATGCCGTGATTCAGTGGGCTGGACACGGTAAGCAAGGCCTGTGGCTCCTGTTGTGAAGCTCTCAGACACGGAGCAGTGCAGAGGGAAGGGGGAAGGATCAGTCCTGGATTTCTACCTGCATGAGGGGCGCAGGGGGCTTCAGCCTGGCTCTGCAGCACTGACTCCAAGCTACGTTGGACCCAGCTGCAAAATAAAATTTTTCCATACCCAAGCTGTTTTGCAGCTCATCAACAGAACAGGGCAACATGGGAGATGTACAGAAGATGGTCTGTCCTGCGTCTTCTGCGTCCTGCTCTGAATGCTTGCCTACTTGACACGGGAGGAATAGAAGTGCCATGTCTCCCAGGGCATTCCCCTCGCTTTCATAGCAGCTAAGTGCTCTAGCGCAATCATCCACAACACAAACACTGAAATAGAATCTCCTGGGGAGATTCCAATTGGACACAAGAGGAAAATCTTTCACAATGGGAACAATCAGCCACTGGAACAATCTCCCCAGGGAAGTGGTGTTTTCCCTAACACTGGACACTTTTAAGATTCAGTTGGACAGGGTGCTGGGCCATCTTGTCTAGACCCTGCTTTTGCTTTAACCAAGAAAGCTTGGACCAGATGATCCTTGAGGTCCCTTCCAGCCTGTCATTCTAGGATTCGTTTTGTTCAGTGTCAAAGAAGAATTATGATAAAGCCAAGTTCTCAAACCTGTGTTTTGTCAAGTTTAGTGCTGCTCCCTTTTCTCAGAGAGGCTATCTGGAAATGTAGAGAAATAGAACCAGGCAGTTTACCATCACATCTTTTTATTGAAGTTACGTGAAGATGGAACAGGGAGGAGCACTGGGCGTACAGCTTTTTGAGTGATGCTACCTTAGAGCACATACATGAGAGAGAACTATGGAGCAAAGCTGGCTGAACCCCTGTGAGCATTTTAGAGCTGAGTAAGACAACTAGAGGTAATTCAGAAAATGCCTGTGGTCAGACAGTTGGACTAGATTATAGTTGTAGGTCCCTTCTAACTGAAGAATTCTATTCTATTTATTCTATCTATTCTATTCTATTCTATTCTATTCTATTCTATTCTATTCTATTCTATTCTATTCTATTCTATTCTATTCAGAATAAAAATAATTTTAAAATACCATCCAAAATAATAAATTTAGTTCTTTTCATAACGGTTCTCCGCATTAGTCTTAAAGTTCTACTGCCCCAATAATTAAAACAGTATAATTACTCGTTCCATATCAACAAGTACATCTATATTTAAAATAAAAATGTTCAGTCAATAGGACATGCTAGTGTGTCCTAGTTTAAAGAAATCACTTATTATCACTTTGGAATTTTACCTGGTACTCACAAACACAAAGTGAGGCAAGATAATTGCTCAGAGGAATTGAATGTAAATACTATCATTTGTAGTGTAAAATGGAGTTATGAATACTAATGCATTAAACAAAGCCTGCCCAGCTGACAGCTTGCAAGACACATCTGGCCTCCAGGACAATTTTCCACTATCATATAAAATTACACATCTCATCTGACAACTGGCCTTAGTGTAAATGAGACTGATGTCATCCTCTCCCAGTTGCCAAGAAGTTGAAAAGTCTTGTATTAGATTTACAACTTGTTTATTCTTACCAATTACGGAGGCCAAGGCAGACTTCTGGCCCTATAAATCCTTCTGTAATACCCATGTCTAAGCAGAGGACATGTCATGAAAGTGAGCAAAGTGCTGGATATAAAACTCCATGACTTAGAGAAAAAATATGCATACACAGCACTTTGAGGGAGCAAGTGTAGCCTAGCTACGTTGTCCCATGCTAACCTGAATGGAGATACAGCAAATCAGTATCAGTGTGGACACATCACAAAATCGCAACCACAGGCCAATCCAGCAGTCCTGGAGAGTTTATAGTCTCATTTTTATCCCTTGCTGAAGCTGTGTACCCTGTTCACCTGTGATATTTAGTATTACATTCTAACTTAACATTACCGAGTAGACATATCTGAATCCTTACTTGCATATGCAGTGAACGTGATAACTGAACTGCCCACCGATTTTCCTTGCAATTGTTTGTATCTCTTATGTGCAGGGTATGAAGCAAGCACAGGAAAGTCCATGGTGTGACAACAGGAGTGACTGAGTAATAACCTACGTAAATCTTGCAGGATGCAAACCCTAAATTAGAGGATGTCTTTCATCCTTCTGAGTGTTAAACAACATTATTAGTACTCAAAATGACTATTGAACTTTTATCTGTATTAACAAGGACTTGGAGGTTTTAAAATCAAACGGTTCTTTTTTGAACTATGTGACTTGGGGATAGTATCTTGTTTAATTACATGGATTTCTTCCATTTATGCCTCCTTTGTCTTTGAGTTTTTGTTTCCTTGTTTTTGTTAAACACTTTATTTCAGAACACATATCCTTTAAGTTGTATACAAAAAAACTTCCAACATCAGTGTGCTGATGATACTTTTATTTTATTAAAATAAGTTACAAGACCCCAAATTACTTTCCCATTTAATGGACAGATGACATAGGCACATTTTTTACTCTGCCTTCCCATTTCACAGTTTCATATAATGTGATATACTGTATCCATTCATTTTTTCTGTATTTACTTTTAAATAAGATAATAAAAATGCAGTTATTGCAGAAAAGCAGTACCTGCTGTACTACTTGTAGCACAAACTGAAGCACAGGAGGTATAGGTAGCTTAATGGTTATAAAGTGACTGTACATGAAGATCCTCAGAGTCACTATATTTTCAAGACTGTTGTCTTCCTGAAGTCTTCTTCACATTTGTCAGTAATAACAAACCAACTGCTGTTTTGTAAGCTGTGCAACAAAATGAAGCTTGCTGAACACAATAAAAAGGATGGCTTCTGAAAGATTATTTTAGAATTAAGTAGAATGATAGCTCAGACAACCTGCTGTCTGCCTTGATATGCCTGCAGCTTCTCAGACACTTCATCTAGTGGTCAGTTGTTAAGGACAATATAATAAAATGGCTGTAAGGCTTGGATTATTTATAATCTTTCTCATTCCTGCATTTTCAACAGACTGTTTTCTAAATGAGGTCAATACTTGCTCAAATCAGAGATTTCAAAACATTTTAGAGATCTGTCAAGGTCTGGCAACTTCTCAAATGATCTCAACAACTCTAATTTCTTAGAAGGAGTAAGACCAATTGACATTTAGAGCTGAGGAGCAGCAAGTGATTGTCTCTGCTGCTTTTTACAGGTTGTCTTGAAAAGATGCTAGGGATACAAATTGCACACCAAAGAGTAACTTTGAAAGAAAGACTCAATTCTTTGTAATAATGTATATTCCTAACTTGAAACTACCACATTTTCTTGCTTAACATTAGCAGTTTTGGGCAAAAAGATTGTTCTCTGAAGGACGTGCTGCTATTGAGATTACATTACAGGTTTAATTATCTTGGTGTTCAGTTTTAACTACCTGGATTCCCTGGAATTCTATATTATAAGCCAAGGAAAATCAGAGTCTACTCTTCACTTTTCCCAGGCAGATAAAGTGAACTCCAGGCACACTGCAAGGAGAGGGATTTGAATTTATTCAAGAACTGGTAAAGTCTTGTGTCCTTGTCAGAGGATTTCATTTGGCTTTCAGACACTGTCGAATTGAAAAATTCATTCACCTGTATAAATGATGAGTTAACACATAAAACCTACTCCTACTTTGCTCTCCTTTGATTAGTCCTAAATACCCCACTCTTCCTTGATTTTGAAGCCCCAGGAATCAAGATGACAACCACAGATCAAGTGCTTCCCTAAATCAATTCCTATTTGAACAAGAACACCTTTCACAGAAAAAAGCATGCAGTCCCAAAAATTTCCAGTGATCAAAATCTTGGTAAATTGTCAGAGTGATCAACCACTCTCACTTCTAAAAATTGCACCTTGTGCTGAATCACAGCTTGCCCAACTTTAACTTCCAGTTATTAGTTCCTGCCATGCCATCTGAGGGCATTTATTCCAGCTTCCAGGTTTGCTGTGGTACCACAGAGCTCACCACTTGCTCTTTTTTTTGTTGTTTTTTTCTCTCCCACATGTTTGTGAAATATCTAATCCAGGGGCCCACCACATTTCTCTTCCCTGCCACAGGCGCCGTGCTGCAGCAAACCAAGCCAGAAAATTCCAGCACAGCATAGCTGGCACCCACCAGCTTGCACCTCAGATGTCCTGCAGACCTGAGGCTTGCCCAGTGCCTCCAACCCCGGCACCCTGTCTCACAGCTTTCCCACTCTCATATATCCCAGCAGCTGGATATCAACAGGCTAGCACATTTTCATGGAGAAGAAGAAGGTGCATGAAAATTGCTTGTAACAGTGCCTGTCTGCAGAGCTGGGATGCAGAGGAATACCACAGCAATGGTCAGGCTGTTGTCATGGTGCCTCTTTTGGGTGTCTTGAAAATTTTGGGACATACCCACACTACTACTAAGAGGGTTCAAAACTAAGCATTTGCTATAACAGTAAAAGCCATCTGGAAGAATTACAAACAGAGCAGCGCTTGATGTTCAACACAGCACATATAATCCAGGTGATGTGGTCATGTGCATTTTATCAGTATCTTGATACTAAAGCCCTTCAATGAAATGTGAAAGCATAATGGTATTTCAACAAGCAAGATTTTGCTCCATAACATTTCTAAAATTACCAGGAAGATTCTTTTGTGAGGTGTGTTCCTTCCCTGGCTGACATCAAAGCAGGTCCCTCTAAAATATCACTGAAGAACTGAATGCAGAAGGTCATGTAAGAAAAAGGATATATTTTGTGGACAGAGCTTCAAGACGTGAGGTGACCGAGTCCTGCAGGGCAGCTATGGCTTCACACTTACAGGATTCTTCAGTTGTTACGAGACTGCTCGTTATGGCTCCTAAGAGAGAAATCAGCATTGAGAACATTTATGACAATTACCGAACATTTAAATCCCAGGAAAATGCTTGATTCTGCAACTCATTCTGTGAGACTACAGCAAGCACTGCAGCCCAGGGACAGCAGTGAACAGGGGCTGATGTGCAGCTGGAGATACGAGCGTCAGAGTCCAGAAACAGGACAGGAAAGAGAAAACTTGACTCTAACCGAGGAGGAGGCAGAGCAAGGAGTTCCTCACCTGCCTGCCTGGATCATCTGCACTCTTTAAATTAGACCATTACTGAACAAAATATAAAAAGAGACCTGAGTGCAGGGACCAAACAGCCTCCCCCATCAACTGTAATTGCTAGACTAGAGTGAATCTTCCCTTTGCCTGTTACCTCTCCCTCTCATCCAGAATATCCCCCATCCCAAAAGGCAAGGCACCCTGGGAAGTGAAATGAGTGTGTTCAAGTGATGCAGACTGAGAAGAACCTGCAGTCCATGTCTCCCTCTTGTAAGTAGTACTTTGACCATCTGACTATTCACACAGGAAGGCCACTGGCATCACTGTAAACAGAATCTATTCAATTAGCTGTATTTAAGGCCATGACTAACTTGTTGTGCTTCTCTTTAGAAGAAAGATAGAATCATAAAATTGTTTGGGTTGGTCATCTAGTCCAACTCCCCTGCCATGAGCAGGGACACCTTCCACTAGACCAGGTTGCTCAAAGCCTCATCCAGCCTGGCCTTGAACACTTCCAGGGAGGGGGCATCCACAACTTCTCTGGGCAACCTGTTCCAGTGTCTCACCACCCTCACAGTAAAGAATTTCTTCCTCATATCTAAATGCATCTACATAGAATCTAAATCTATCTTTCTATACAAAATCAAGGTTGCTGCTGTCAAAGTTGTATTGTAATGGCATTTGGGGTACCCATCACTGCCAAACACAGCACTTCTGAGAATGCATGAGTCCCAAGTTAAGCCTCCAGCAATACTGCAAGCCAAGCAGGAAGGCACGTCGTGATTTTAGGCACATAAAGAGTCAGTCAGTGTCAGAAATATGTCAGTTTGCATCAGTTTGTGAGATGTGGGTGGAATTTAGACACCTAAATCTCAGTTTAGGAAGGGATTAGAAAGAATTGAATTTACCAGTTGGTAAATAATACAACAATGAAAGCAGGACAACATGTATTAATTTTAAATACTAAGCAATAAGGTTCAGCTAAATCATCAATGTGTATCACTCCACAAGTACTCTTGGTTTGTAACACTGGCAATACACATGCATAGGGAGTATCATTTGTGGTTCATCAAGAGGTGTGAACACAAGTGCATTCTGATCTCACATGAGTATTGATGGAGGGAACAACATTCAAATAAGCCCAAATTAATTTAAAATCTAGTGGAAAGGCACAGCAATATTAATGGAGGAGCCAGTTAGTATGACAGAGAAGTCATCAATCTCTTAAGAAAGAGAAAGCAAGCATTGCCATACTCCACGGTGGCTCCATTGAATCTGTTCCTAGGTCTTACCCTCAGTCCTCCAGACTTACAGGGGCCCGGCCTAAGCTGCCCTCAAGAATTCCTTTTTCTTCATAATCCACCACAAAACCAGGTCTCAGAGAGGTGAGAATTTCATTGTGGTATAATAACGTCCATCAGCAGCTGATGGCTGTGAATTCATAGCTACGTGAAAGGCAATTTAACCTCACCTACTCCATAAAGAAAACAGGAGTTGAGGCAAGCTGCATCACTGCTGCAGGCTAAGCTTAAACATATCAACAGCTACTGAAGCACAGGTACTGTGGTAAGATTTGCATCTACATCTGAGGCCAGACTAATAAGCTTCCAAGTGCAGAGCCTTCTTAGAAGAGGGCCTGCAATTCTGAAATACCCTTTCAACAAGTTATCAAGAGGTATTATTTGTATGTAATACCTGTCTCTTAAAACATGTGTTTTTATGTTGCTTGCAAAGGCAACAACAGCAGATTATTTGATTATTTTTTCTGTAGATATATAAATGCATAGCTGACCAATAGCAAACAAATTATGTGAGCATTATAACAGTAAAACAATAGAAATATTATACCTGGATACAATTTATCTTTTTTCTGAACTGTTTTGGTTTGTTTGTTTGTCAATCATGCCATTGATATTTCCAGTTTGCAGGGAAACTGCAAAATCTATGAACAGATTCATTTCTAGCAGCGCAGAAATTCATTTGTCTTGGAGCCAATGGATTCCACTGAACCTGTATTTGTTCAGCTCCCTTCTTTGGAACGTTCCACCAGCTTTATGGTCAGTGTACAAAGAAGAGCTGTTCAAGAGTCAGCTGGAGGAAGGCCATTTCAAAATATCACACCAACATTGTTGGTTTCCAACCAACTGCCAGTTATTTTTTATGTTTACATTTAAGTTCTCCAATGATAGATACAGATCCTCCTTGGATTATATCTGTTTTTAAAAAATTACTTTTGCAACTACCTTTGGCAACAGCCCAAGCGTACCCTGAAGTTTTTTACAGTCCTTCTGTGAAATTTAGTCTTGTAGTATTTGATAGTCAAAATCTTGGACACTCCTGTTGCCACTGGGGTGCCCAGCAAGTCACACAAAACATGCTAGAGTTATGTTTTTACTTTGCATTTATGTTTAAGTCCAGACCTACAAAAAATAACTATTTTTGCAGATGGTGCTTGGCCATATCCACCTATTTTATAACTCTGCTCTTACATAGGGTCCTTAGCCACTCAATGCAATGGAAAGTTATTCCTGTTCTGAACCAGAGATTGGACTAGGTGCCTCTTGAGGTCCCTTCCAGCCCACCTTCACTTATAAATCTATATCGAATGGTGCAGAGGTTCTACCAACAGTTGATGCCTTTATTGCCCATCTGAAGGTAAAACAGCTGATGAGTTTGACCCTTTGCGACCAGGGAGGCCAACAGTATCCTGGGGTGCATTAAAAAGAGCATGGCCAGCAGGTCCAGGGAGGTTCTCCTCTCCCTCTACTCTGCCCTGGTGAGGCCACATCTGGAGTGCTATGTCCAGTTCTGGGCTCCTCAGTTCAAGAGGGACAGGGATCTTCTGGAGAGAGTCCAGCGGAGGCCACAAAGATGATGAGGGGCCTGGAGCATCTCCCGTATGAGGAGAGGCTGAGAGAGCTGGGACTCTTCAGCCTGGAGAAGAGAAGACTGAGAGGGGACCTTATCAATGTCTATAAATATCTGAAGTGTGGGGGCCAAATGGATGGGGCCGGGCTCTTTTCAGTAGTACCCAGTGACAGGACAAGGGGCAATGGGCACAAACTGGAACACTGGAAGTTCCAGACAAACTTAAGGAAAAACTTCTTTCCTGTGAGGGTGACAGAGCACTGGGACAGGCTGCCCAGAGAGGTTGTGGAGTCTCCATCTTTGGAGATGTTCAAAACCCGCCTGGACACTTTCCTGTGCAACCTGCTGTAGGGAACCTGCTTTGGCAGGGGGGTTGGACTGGATGATCTCCAGAGGTCCCTTCCAGCCCTTATGATTCTGTGATTCTGTGAGTTCAGGCCTGCCCCACTCAGCTTGGAGGAGTGGGCAAGAAGTGCAGTAATTCTTCTGACACCAGTTCTGTTCCCTTCTGGCCTCCCACCATCCTCCAAATGCTGGTATGCAATTGAGTCCCATGCTCCAGAGACAGATGCCCCAGAACTCTGCCTTGCCAATCCCCCTAATTATTCCCATTTCCTAAGGAAATGCAGATCATAACTGATTATTTTTTTTAAATATGGTAAAGTCCTTAAACATGTGGTGATAGGTAAGAGCCAACTGTAGTTTTAAATACAGTTAAACTAAACAAGATATATACAATAACTAAACAAGAAGGATCAAACTATCTCAAAATATTAGTGGAAAAAGGCAGAAAAGTATGAAAAGGGATTATACTTTCAGGAGTTAGTGAGCTGATAGGATATTTCTTAAACAGACTAAAAGCATTTAACACATTAGAGAAGTACTTCAATAAATATATTCAGAAAAAAAAAATATTACTTGAGCATGTTTTCTTATCTGGATTTAAGGTGAAGCCTTCATAGCAGTCACAGGTATACGATCCACCATTCCTCACGCAGACCTGCTCACAGTCATGGGTTCCTGGTGCACATACATCAGTTCCTGCAGAATGCATTTTGGAGAAACAGTTATCCAAAAACAAGATAGCATTTTTTAATGCTTCCCAATGGCAATGCTTCTGCATGCTGGGAGCCTATCCTATGTGAATCTTAACAGTGAGATGGGTAACTGATCTCGCCTGGGAGCAGTGAGATGAACTAATTGCCTTGCTGGGGTCTCTCTCAGTCCTTACTTTCTACAGTCTGTGCTCACTCTGACCACAGCTGCCTGTCCCCACCAGATGTGAAGCACCAGATCACCTCCAAAGGCATGATAGGAAAAGTTTCCAGCACATCATAACTTTACCAGGAAGGAAAGAAATGTTTTGTTTTGTTTTGTTTTTTTAATTACATTTTCACTATAACACAAAGTTATCTGAGAAGCTAAAGAAACAAACAGCAATGTGAAATTCAGCCTGGAGGGGAAGGCACCCCTCAAACTGTCTCCTGCAAAGTGGTACGCAGTTTCCACAGTACTGCAGAGTGTGTGATTCTGTGACTAACCCCAGGTCCTCTCTTCAGTTATTTCTCAGTTCTGGGTTTGCTAAATATTGCATAATTGCAGGTTTTAAATAGAGTGAAGGCCTTTGTGATAAGGTGATGAAGAAAGACCAAATGGTAAGCAGTTTGCACTGTTGCATATAAAGTGTTTTATATCTCTGAATGTTGCTCAAAGTGGAAAAGGCAGAGTGACATAGAACTGTCTTACACCACTTGAATGCATGTGAAAGTTTCTGAAAGAGATCCAAATATATTAACCTGCTACTCAGAGTTATTTCAATACATGTACTTAGCTGGGGAGGGTATGGGGGGATAGGGAGCAGCGATCTGCTCTTACTTGAGCAAGTCTTCTTGTCTGGATTCAGGGTGTAGCCTTGGTAGCAGTCACAGGTATAGAACAGATCATCTCTCACACAGACCTGCTCACAGTCGTGCCTCCCAGGTGCACACATGTCGACAGCTGAGGAAGGCATTTGAGAAGAGAAGAATAGTAATCAATACCCCAAGTTCAGTCGAGTCGATATTAGTAATTTCCATTTGCAAATATATCTTCATTTGGATTCAAACCAGGATGTTTTTATTGCATGTCAGCACGCTACTAGCCATGGTAGGGTACACAGAGTGTGTATCTGGCTGTCAACATCACAAAATTAATATGGTTTTTCGAACACTGGCAACACTTTTTTGCAGTTGTAACATTGCAAAAGGAACTGAACCAGCAGTGACCCAGTTACAAAATAATTATCCAAAGCCATTTCAGAGAACAAATATCTGGATTTTAAGAGACTATTTGGCATTATTTCAGCTCTAGTTCAGTTGGATAAGACACTGTTTTGTGGAGGGAAAAGACCATAAACAGAAGAGCATACATGGCTGCTAAAAAAAAGAGACGTGGCACCCGCTGCCAGTTACAAAGTGGGTACTTTATGTGTGAGGCTGATGTTTTCTGCCAAATTTAACACGTCAACTCTGAAAGGGCAAGCTGAGAAGGAATTACTATATTTGGGTAACTTTGCAGTAAGGAGGTCCAGGAAGGCACAAGGAAAGAAAGAAAGAAAGAAAGAAAGAAAGAAAGAAAGAAAGAAAGAAAGAAAGAAAGAAAGAAAGAAAAAGAAGGAAAGAAAGAAAAGAAGGAAAGAAAAAAGGAAACAAAGAAATAAAAAGACCCCCTCTTGGACCTAGACTATTTTTATTATATCACAAAGACCTGGATGGTTGAGAAATAATTAGCAACATACTGCAAAATGAGATTCAAAAGGAAAAAAAATGTAAGCATATTAGGGAAATCGTCTGAAATTTGACTATACAGGAGAAAAGAAGCAGTGCTATGAAAGGAAGTTTAAGATTGGACTCACAAAGGGGATGCCTAACTGAATTCACATTCCCTCACAGATGTTTATTATGTCTATATAATGCCAGGTGAAGGTTAATCTTCGGAACTATCCTTAAAAAATCAGCTCCTAAACTAGGCAGGAAGAAATATTGAGGCCCTCTGGCTTCAGCTCTTTAAGATGCAAGACCTATGACTTCACTGGAGAGATTTGCCTGGGAACCTGCTGGAACTGGAAGCCTGGGTTCAGTGGCTTTGTCACACAAAATGTAGTAAGGAAAGGGATTATGCTGGAAGTGGAAAAAAGGATTTTGCGTAAGTAAATCATCAGTCAGACATCCAAAGAAATGAAGAGTGAAATTCAAATCCTAATTAATTGAAAATAACATAGCATACATATTAATTTGTAGGTACTATATACTTACATGTACATCCTTAAGTACCAGCTGCATCTATGCTCCTATTCTCCACAAGAGCCCAGCACTGGGAAAGAACATTTCCCTCCATCCTCTAGACCTCTAAGACTGGAGTGTTTTTTAAGGTCCAAACACATGTACCAGAAAGAGTGATCACACTCATGATGACCCAGACTATAATCTCTCTCCCAGCACAGTCCTTGCTCTTCTTCATCTCATTCCCTTGTGCTGCTTTGCTGAAGACTTTCTGACACACGTAGTACACATCACGTATTCCCACCACATATATTATTCATCTCCTCTCTCAGATGGATATGGCAATTTGTGCTCTATGGGTGTGAAAATACTATGAAGTCCTTGGGGAAATGCCAAATGGCATTTTAATTATACCAATTACAAGCTTCACGCAACTGTAGAAGAGTTGTGGATCTCAAGTTATTACTGGACATATGAAGAAATAAAGTTGCATTGTGGTTTCAGGAGTTGTACAGAAACTCTTGGATAATTTATCAGAAAAAAAATATAAATTAATCTGATTTTTAAAAGCTACTTGCTAATATTTCCTTAATCAGATCTTACCTGAGCAAGTCTTCTTATCTGGATTCAGAGCGTATCCTTCATAGCAGTCACAGCTGTAGGATCCATCATTACTCAGACAGACTTGTGCACAATCATGCCTTCCAGGTGCACACATGTCCATGGCTATGGTGAATCAAGTTTTAGAGAAAAAAACTATTAATCCCTCCTAGGCACTCAAGCATTTTAAATGCTTCAACTTTTATAAATACAATTTAATTAGGATTCAAATTAGGATTCAGCCAGTACCTGACTACATTGTTATATTATGCTTCAGACAACTGAATTCACTTACTAATTATTTGATGGAGGAGGCAGATATTGGGACGGCAAGACATTACTAACCACATCTCACACAATTCCGATTTTCATCAGTAATTCTAACATTCCTGAATATCCTCAGTAAGGATGAAGCTAAAACACCATACTGAGATGAGCAAGAACCTGCCACGTGTCAAGGCAGAAGTTGTTTCTTACAAAATTAGCAGTAACTACAGTGAGTCCAAATTTAGAATCACAGAATGGTTTGGGTTGGAAGGGACCTTAAAGATCATCTAGTTCCAACTCCCCTGACATGGGCAGGGACACCCCCCACTAGACCAGGTTGCTCAAAGCCTCATCCAACCTGGCCTTGAACACTTCCAGGGAGGGGGCAGCCAGAACTTCTCTGGGCAACCTGTTCCAGTGTCTGACCACCCTCACAGGAAAGAATTTCTTCCTAATATCTCATCTAAATCTCCCCTCTTCCAGTTTAAAGCCATCACCAGTTGTTCTATCACTCCCTACCCTTGTAAAAAAGTCCCTCCTCAGCCTTCCTGTAGCCCCTACTGTAAGGCCGCTATAAAGTCTCCCTGGAACTTCATACTTCATATTTAATTTCATACTTTCATCCATGAGCTGAAGGCAGGCACAAAAAGCCAGGCTAACTTTTCAGGGTTCCAATTCAAGGAGTAAGAAAGGAAGAAGCTGCTGCCTGCTACCTGCACAACTTTGGAAGCAGAAGCAGCAAGCTGAAAAAAACAAATGAGTTTCAAAAGGAGAGGTGGAGAGGACCTGGGAATATCCTCAGGTTTTAAGTTCTCTACAGACTAGTGGCACTCACTCTCCAGTGGGGAGACAATGCTAGTGGGCATCTCTGAAATAGGTTCTTCTTCTCCTTGGGACTAAGTGATGTTTATGAAGTACTGTGAAGATGATATAATGGTAGGTAAGTGCCAGATTGCATTTTTTTTAAATAAAAACATTTAAAGAAAAATGCTTTTTTATTGTTATTGGAAGCAAGGGGAAAAGCTAGAGGTGAATTCTCAAGAGTTGATGTCTGTAAGCAAGTTTTCAACTAGAAATAGTGAGGGTAGCTCACAGAAAACATGTCCATGTCTCCATGAGTTTCTTATATTAAACTTTAATTCTTACCTGAGCAAGTCTTCTTATCTGGATTCAGAGTGTATCCTTCATAGCAGTCACAGACGTAGGATCCGTTGTTACTCACACAGACCTGGTCACACTCGTGCCTTCCAGGTGCACACATGTCCACAGCTGCAAGACACATGTTCGAGAAACAATTCATTGTTAATGAAAAGTAGGTAAGGATGGAGTACATACTCACATTTTTTAATATATTTCTATTTGGAATCAGCTCAGAAATGGCAATAGTAACTAAAGGAATTAGAATAAGTGGTAGGAGAAAATATCCATACAGTGTCTACATCTGAAGATTTTGTTTTGGCATCTGGCCCTAATGAATGGATCTGTAGGCATAATAAAAAGGATGGTGATGGAATCAAAGTACTTCTCACCATTACTTGCAGAGGACTTTTATTTAGTATTTATTATTAGGTTTATTATTATTGAAGGAGATACAGAAGTTCACTCTTTTAACAGAACTACACAGGTAGCTTCTCAAATCCAATTATGGTGTTAAAAAGTGATTTTTTTCTAGTTGAGCACAGTTACCAAAGGAGTAATACCTGAGCAGGTTCTCCTATCTGGATTGAGAGTGTAGCCTTCATAGCAATCACAAAGGTGGGATCTGCCGTGGCTCACACAGACCTGCTCGCAGTCGTGGGTCCCAAGTGCACCCACATTCGCAGCTACAAAGGGCATTTACAGAACAGGCATTTCAGCCATCCCAGAGGAAAGAAAGTCATTAATTATTTATGCCTACAAAAGTGCATCCTGCACTGTTTGCTGGATTAGTAGTAGCAAATACCAGTGCTGTGTCACCCTCACAAAAAGTTACGGGCATCTTTTGCATCATTCTGAAGCCAGAAGAAAGAGGTCATAAATGCCACTGGAACAACTGCACTGAAATAACTCACTGCCTGAGGTGGCAGAAAGGCAAGATGAATTGAAAAGGGTGTTACAGGGAGAGATTTTAACCATTTAGTAACATTGCACTGGAAATGAGAACTTGGCAATGGAAAGGACCTTCTGGCTTTTTGTATCCAGTCCCTTTCCATTACAGACAACCAGTTGAAATAATCCCAAAATGTATCTGTCACTGTCTGACAGTTTACTAATATCTGCTCATGGGCATACAGTCTGATCTATGAATTCCT